AAAAAACAACACACACTTTGGATCGATGTAGTTCAGAGCAGTTTTGATGGAAGCGGCAAGCCTTGAATATTTGAGGTATAAATGCCACTTTATAGATTAGAGAATTAAACCAGAGATAGGCTGTTGAAAAATATGTGTTCTGTCTTAAGCAAGCCGTTCTTTATCGAGTGTACATACTGCTTTTCTTCCGGGAGTTCATTGTGGCGTGCATTTACCCTTAACTTTCTATCCTTAATTTGATCCTTGCAAACAGCTGGTGAGATTGAGAGTGTACGGCAGATGTCATGCAGTGGACTCTTGTGACAGAGGATGGACCTGCACCTGGTCTTCTTAGTCTAACACAGGGGTGTCAAACTCAAGGCCCGCATGGTGCTTAGATCTGGCCCGCAGGGGAAACAGCACTGGCCCGCGGTGCTTCTGCCAGTGAAAACAGAGCTCCGTTTTCACTGGCAGAGGGTTGCCTGAGGCCGTCACAGCCAAAAATGGAGCTCGGTAGCCTGTTTTCGCTGGCAGAGCACTCAGGCCACCACAGGCACCCCGACAAGAGTGATGTCAAGTTGCCCACACCCACCTTGGCTATGCCTCCCTGCCTCTCCCCCCGAGGTCAAACACAACTCTGATGCGGCCCACAATGAAACCAAATTTGATACCCCTGGTCTAACACCTTAACAGTTGAATGATGGTGGCTATGGAGCAATAATCAGTCCATTATTTAATCATTACGTCATACTTCTTATTCACCATACAAAAAAACAAAAGTAGAAGCTCACCTTATTGATATCTATTGTTTCCAAGGCGAGTTGCCTCAACCTCTCTCTGCGGTCCCTATTGCTTTCTGAGGCCGAGGCAACACCTCCACTCCCCGTTTTTCCACCTGGACGGTGCTGAAAATCCATGACTGAAGTCTTTGTGGTTCAAAATGCTGGGAATCGGAGACAGAGAAAGAGAGGAGAAAATGAAGTTGGTGTACTTGAATGATGGTAAGCGTAGGATTATCTAGATTGTGTTCTTTACACTGTGATCTACCCGAAGTCACTCCAGACTCAGGTACTGCCTAAATGGTCTTGGTCTTATTATATCCTGAGAAAACATGGCAAATCTGCACAAAAATTAAAAGAGCTAAAATCGAATGAGAGTAAACGTTATATCTCAGCTGTTGTAAAAAGGAACGGCAGATTTTACTCTGCTAGTTGTAGTCGACTTTAGGGGCGGTGCTCATCTCTGTTTCAAGGCTATTGGGGCAGCACTGTCCAGTCATGTGGCCAGCATGACATCATGGAGCCAGATGCCTTCCCACCGAAGTGGTACCTATTTATCTATTCACATTTGCATGCTTTTGAACTGCTAGGTTGGCAAGAGCTGGGGGAAAAACGGGAGTTCACCCAGTTGCGCAACACTCGGGTCTCAAACCTTTTTAGCTGACAAGACCAGCATCTTACTGCTGAGCCATTGTGCTACCCATCTCAGTTGTTACAAGAAACTTTGTCAGCTTTGGAAGCCATATTGAGATTCGATGCTCCCACGCTGCCACAACTGAGCCTGAGAAAGCGGGAGGGAGGAATTCATTTGAGTGTATCTAGTTAGACAAAATAAAAATCTTTTGTTTGGTTCAAGGTCACTGAGTGTGGCACATAATGTAATGGGAATCTTACTTTAGGACTGATGTTGATTGGACCATGTGATATGGTGATGGTTAAGGGAGGACATATTTGTATTTTTCATTTTTGCAAGGAAGCCCGAAACTTTCAGATTTGGAATTCCACAGATGTGCCAGTTACTATCCAAATAAAGGTACCTTTAAGATATGTCTGTCTTGGAGTTATTGATTGGAATGGAGGGTTGCTGGAACTCTGACATTTAATTGTTTAGACAAGCGAAAAGGCAGAAACCATAAAAACTGAAAACCAAGTTTTAATAACAAGGTTTCCTAATAGAGTGGGCCGTAATCATTCTAAAACAAAAACAATGATCTTTCCTCCAGGACATTAACATCACATGTAAAGAGCATTTAACATAAGTGTGAAGGCAAGTCTTTTCCTGTGGGTGACTATAATGAATTCATATATAATGAATAATCCAATTAATAACCAATTTATTCAGAAGGAAGAGCACAAAAGAAAAATGCTGCATTAGCCAATTTCAATAGCCTGTAGAGAAACAAACTTCAAATTCACACACTACAACCTATTGCAAGATCCAATCTGGTTTGGTCCCCGGCATCAGAGATTTTGTCTGAATCAAATCAAATCAACCTTTATTGTCAGAGTACAACATGTGTACAATGAGATTGGCTGAGCTTCCTTTCGTGCACCCCTCCCCAACACAACTCACAGTGAAGTCAAAACGCCAACCCAGTGAATCCTACTAACAAACATACAATCTTATTGCACCATGCACCATGGGCTCCAGCACAAATCTGAAAGTTTGGAAGACAAAACCTCTGGTCCCAGTGACTGACCCAGATTAGATCCTGCAACATTACCCTGGGACACAAATATTCACTTTCATTCATAACTACAGTCTGCCTGCAAGATGGAAAAGCTGATGGTTGGTGCTGCTGTAGAGGTTTGTACTCAATTCTCCTTTATGTCAGTGCCCATTTCCAGCTTAACTCTTCCAGGCTAACCTTCCATTCTTCCTTGGCTAATTCTCCACATTGCGCTGGAAAATCTTTCTCCAACTGTTTACCTCCTTCCTTCCAACCAAAAGTATAGTCTCTGCTCCAACTACCATCATCCTGGCCCCCTTTCCCCTGCCATGCAATAAAGCTCCTTTCCACTCTGGCTCCTGAGTTTCCAATTCCTTCCCCTATTAACTTCGTTACCCCCTGCCTTTCCCATCATTACACATAATCCTCAACTTATTACCATAACTGAGTCCAAACTTTCAGTGGCCAGGCAAGGCATTTGTTAAGTGAGTTTTGCTCCATTTTGCGACTTTTCTTGCCTGAGTTGTTAAGCGAATCACTGAAGTTGTTAAGTTGGTCACATGGTTGTTCAGCAGATCTGCCTTTCCCACTGATGTTGCGCTTGTCAGAAGATGGCAAAAGGGGGAATCTCATGACTCCTCTGGGACACAGCAACCATTATAAATATGAGTCAGTTGCCAAGAATCTGGATTTTGATCACGTGACCACAGGGATGTTGCAATGGTTGTAACTGTGAAAAATGGTCATAAGTCGCTTTTTCCAGTGCCTTTGTAACTCGGAATGGTCACTAAGTGTTGTAAATCGAGGACTACCTGTACAAGCTTGTACAAGGGAATGCAGGTCTTCCTTCCTCCAAAGCAGGGCATTTGCCTCTATTACCCCTATTCCCACGACTGGCTGAGCCCCACTAAGTTTTGGGGGGCTGCTTTCTCCTCCCATCAGTCCTGTTGCTCCCAGTCCGGTCTCACCACCACTTAGTTATATCCTCCTGCATGTTTCTCACCCACAGTTTAATTCCCCACCATGGCCCCTGAGCTCAAGGCTGGCATTCTAGAACTTCTCCCTCTTTCCTCACCCGTGCCGTTTCGACTCCCTCTCGCTTCATCAGCCGCCGAGGGGCACAGAATCGCCCGAGCAACCAAGGCCTCCTTCACTGCGTCGCCTTGGTGCCGCTGGAACGTACTAGGCCAAAACCGCTTAAGTAGCTTTCACTTCCGGGTTAGATCACCGTTGGCCCGGATATCCTTCAGGAAGTTTATCAAGCCGAAGAAGAGGGGAAACTCCCCCCAGGCGTCCAGTCTAGGAATGGAAGATGATCAGAGAGAGACCACATTGCCAGGAGGGCGGTGAGACTCGGACCCGGAAGTGCTACAGAAGGGCAAGTCCAGTTCGTGAGAAAGCCATGGCGGAAGTAAGAGGGAAGAAGCCATCGATCCGAGAGGCCGGAGGGCGAAGGGGCGGGGCGGGGCAGGGCAGCGGTGGAAGCGATGCGGTACAACGAACGGGAGCTGCTGTCGCTCTCCCGGCAACCGGCCGAAAAGGCGGCGGAGGTTCTCATGCGCGCCCCCAAGAAAGGAAGTGGTAATGAGAAGGGGCTCGTGACGTCACGGAGCGAAAGGGAGGGGGATGTGACAGGACGGGGGGGCGATAATTGCGTCATCTGGGGGCGCTGGGGGAAAATGGAAGCGAGATGTTCAAGGGCCTCTCTGGCATGACTGCCATCCCTGAGGACTAGTCCCTTGAGTGGGCTTTTGTCAGTCCTGTGGATGCTAGTCCTCAGTTCCAGCTTCTATTTAGTTTTTGTCTTAATCTCTTGTTCATTTTCACGATGACCGTGACTCATTTACCCGTTTTATGTTTACAGTTTATGTGTTATATTTATTTTGTATTTGCCTTTTGCCTAATGCTTTCTGGTTCCCCAAAAGTAATACGATGCATTTATAGTAAAATACAGCTAGTCCTCAACTTTTGAGCCCAAAATTTATGTTGCTAAGTGATAAGTGTGTTAATCAGTACCAAACGTGACAATTGGTAACTTGCTGTGCCACTTTTGGTGACTTTTGTCCCATTTTACGACATTTTCCCCTGCATTTATTAAGCCAATCACTGCAGTTCTTAAAATAGTAACATGGTTGTTAAGTGAATCTGGTTTCCCTACTGACTTTACTTGTCAGAAGATCCCAAAAGTTATAAATGGGAGTTTAGTTGTCAAGCATCTGCATGTAAATCACATGACCCTGGGGATGCTGCCATGGTCATAAGTGAAAAATGATCATGTCACTTTTTCAGTGCCGTTGTAACTTTGAACGGTCACTAAAGAGAACTGTTGTAAGTAAAGGGCTACCTGTAGTTCAGCTTTAAGGTGCCACAAGATACTGGGTAGGTTTGCTACAACTGACTGACAAGTTACTTCTAACATAATTCGTATAAAAAATACTTTCTTAAACATATTAAAATCTCCTTAATATGACTGCATTTTATCATAAATTTTAATATAACTATAGATATAGATGCACAAATAATCTAGTGCAGAGGCTTCTGTATTCAGAAGGCCCATCTGTCAAAGAAGGGTGCTCTACTCCAGCGGTCACCAACTGGTGGTCCATGGACCACTGTTGGTCCACGAGAAAATTTTGGTGGTCAGCAGAAAAATTATTTCCATTTTTTATATTGCACTAAATACTATTTATCTTTTTTAAAAATTCATATTAGTGGTCCGCAGGATTTAAAATTATAGATTTAGTGGTCCCTGAGGTCCGAAAAGTTGACGACCCCTGCTCTACTCCATACTTTTCCCTGATATTTCCTATTTCCTAGCCCCTTAACCTGCTCAGTTCTTGAGAGGGGTGAGTTTGGAGATTCTCCCCACCATAATGCAGCAGTCAACTCTGAGGTTTGTATAGGACATGTCTCTGGGGTACTTTGGCTGTCCTGATTTCAGAAGGTGCTGCACTTGGGAGAATTAACTTCATTGTTTGCTTATTGGAACGTGTCAGTGCTGTATGTGACAATTGGTAACTTGCTGTTCCACTGTGAATACTAACGCCATTCTGTTTAAGTGAACAGTTTGGCTATTTTGCTTATTCATGTGCATGCATAAATGCAGCATTATTGCATCAGGGATGAATAGCTAGGCTCCCTTTTAGCACCACTTGTATGGTTTACCAAAACCATACACTAATCCCTTTCTAAATCTTATTATATCCCCCCGCCCCCCAGTTATGATTAATTGTAATTCCTCACTCCCAGTATGATACACATATTTGATTTTAATGATTTTAAAGCTCTTTTTTGACTCCTCCAGATTTAATTTTCTTAGTTCGAGTCTCCAGAAAGAGAATTATTAAAGCGCAGGGAAAAACTGTTCTAAAGCATTCTGAATTTGCAAGACAGAATGGGCCCATTTATTATAGTATCAAATGGTACTGATTTCATTAGGGGGCTAAATATTCTTTACTTCTGAGGGTAAAAAGCTTCTTATTTATATGATATTCTTCCTCCATGAAACTCAGATTGACGTATGTCAGCCAGCATGCTTCTTGATACTCCTCCATTAAGACAGATGAGGCCAAGAGAGGAGTGAGTAGCACCAAATCATTTAACGAATGTTGTGACTGAGGATTAGAAGTCAGTTCTGCCAATCATAAACTACTATTCTAACTGCTCTTTGCCATTAACTGACACGGGGTAGGAAGACAAAATGGTATTGTGTTATATGCTGATGCTAACAGTAGTTTTAAGGTTGTGTTAATGTGCTACCTATGTGTGTAGAAAAGGTTTGAGCAACCTTTATCAAAGGTTGATTATAACTGGTCTTAGGTGCATAGCGTGGATCTGCTGGGGTGTAGCAGATGCTGAGCTATGCTATTCCAAACTCGAGGATTATTTACCAGCTTCCTGATGATAACCCAGCTATCGAACTATAGCAGCCCAGAGTCATTTGGTAGTGTTGGGCAGCCACAGAAATTGAATAAATAAGTAAACAAAAATAAAAATAGTTTTTGTATCTCTTTTCTCTTTGCAGCCTTGAAGAAGCGCCTGGTGAAATTAGTGGTCAATTTTCTCTTTTACTTCCGAACAGACGAGGCTGAGGTAACAGTAGTTAGCAACTGTTTTGAAACGTGATCGGAATTGCACCTTAGTTGCACCTAGGTCTAAGGTACATTGTACCTTAGTTAAAACGTGATATGAGTTGCACCTAGTTGCACCTAGGTCTAAGGTACACTTAGGTACATGGTGCAGTAGTTAGGCTGATATTTTTATTGGCTGATGACTAACAAAAAATTTTCTAGTATTTGGCCATCAACTGGGTTGAAGAAATCTGTGGCCCTTCAGCTAAAATTGAATTATTGGCCCTGCTTTCTGAGACTAATAAAAAAACAGAATATCCAATATATCTGGAACAGTAAGGTTGCCTACTCCTGTAATAAATCTAAGAGTTGGAATGTGTTTTTAAGTTCACCCTAGGAAGATTTTGTGTATGTGGGAGGGTGGTTGTAGAGTTCTGTGGTCATGTGATTGTGATTTGCGACATTTTTTGCCGTTTTCCGGCATAAAGTTGCAATAAAAGCCCATGAGATATTCTGGACTCACTTAACACTATAAGGCTTGTTTAACCACCATGCGGGTTCACTTAACGTCCACTGTGACTTACTTTACAACCGTCATAGAAACAGTTGTAAAATCGAGTCCAGTCATGTGGTGCCTTGACTTACAACCCTAATGAGTGATGGCCAACATTTTGGGCTCCGTGGTTGTGGTTGTAAGTCAAGGACTACCTATAAACCTTTCCACCTTAATTGAAAAGCAGATCTGATTCTTTCTCTCCCCACCTTTTATCTCTCCTCAGCCCATTGGTGCTTTATTGTTGGAACGCTGCAAGATCAGCAAAGAAGAAGAAAATGTCTTTTCCATCAGTAAGTGCTTTAGAAAGAGTTGTTGGGATGTTTGTAAGGAGCAAAAAAATTTTCCCCTAGCAAGTTGGCAGCCTTTTTTTTAAACATTGACAACATAACAATGTCACTGAGTACACTGAGTCAATTCACTGATTCATTCAGTCTAGGTTTGCTGGCTCTGACTGGCAGCTGCTTTCCCTAGTTATACAGTTATTTATACATACCCATTTGCGCTATTTTTTACACCCATTTGCGGTATTCAGGTGATCCTGAGGGCACAGATAAACCTCCCAAGTTGTCTCAATGACTCTCAGAAAGTGTGCTAACGACCAATTGACTGCAAGGAATATAAATCCTTCCATCCTCCACCATTCAGTCAGAGCTGAAGAAGCTTCTTGGATGAGAAGCGAAACACCTTCAAGGAAAAAACAAAAGTCCAGATGCCTTTTGAAAAAGCATCTTTTGGACAACCATGACCTGGATGACTGAGAAACTAGACAGTTATTATACGTTTTCCCCCCAATCTCTTCCTAGTAAGGGGACTTGAGGAAGAGGAAGATGAGTCAGAACATTTGCTTCGTACACTCCCTTTTCAGGCAGCAGTAAAAAAGCCGCTTCTTCCCTACCTTTCGGGGAAGCTGTGGAAACCAGGTAGAGCTGGGTGAGAGAGGTCTTGAGAGTGACTAACCAGGGAAGGAGACTTGGGGAGAAGACAGCCAGTTCAGTGAAATCTCAACAGTCCATGATCACAACTGCAATATGGTAGAGTTGTGGTCATTCCACTCTCAAAGCAGGTAACTAGCTTGAGATTGAGCCTTTCTCCATCTTTTTACTGTGGAGGAACTCTTTAAATAATTTTAAGTTCTGTGAGAACCCCTGCATAAAATCAGCAAAAAAAGAGAGAGGGAGGGAGGGAGAGAGAGAGAGAGAGAGAAGGGGGGGGGAAGACACCTAGCATTGATGACATTACTTAGTTGTGTAATGAAACATCTGCAAAAAAACACCCAAATTCAATGAGCACCCCACAGTTCAACCCTGAGCTATAAATCTTCTGTCCTCCGTGCAGTAGAATATACTGCATTCCTTCTGGTGGCAAAACAGTCACATTTTAATGGAATTCTGTTCATATGATAATCCAATATGTTCTTCCAATAGGCAACATTTTATAGCTCTTGATAAAGCAAGCTTTAGTTTGATCCTGCTTGGACTGCTGTAATTTTCTGGCAGGGTTGACAGTTAAATTACATCATGAAGAAGGAATGGACAATTCTCCCCAAAGTGAGAATATGATAGCAAGGAAGGTCACAGGAAAGGTGGGGCTGATTTGGGAGCTGTATGGTGGGAGGGCTCTGATTATTTTGAAGAGGGGAACAGAGAAACTGGGGAAAACGCATTTAAAGATTCTGTTGTCAAGCACTTAAAATATCCACAAGTCTTAAAGCTGTCAAGTTTGAAGACCCCTGGCTTAGATCAATATCTGCCTTCTGTGTAAATGGTTGTTGAATCAGAATTTTCATTACCACATTATTTAGGAGTGAAAAAATCTATTAAGTTTAGATACCGCCCATCTCACTCTCAGTACGATTCTGTGCTGTGTACAGAAAAACATAAAAAATGTAAAAAAACAAAGGGACAAACGAAGATAATATCTTGGGACTGTTTGGCAGATTGGGACTGTGATAAGGAAACAGATTAACAAGATTAACAAGAGAAATTAATTAAAATAGAAGACGTTGGCTTTTAACAAAACAGAATAACTCGACTGATTAAATAAGATGAGTGAAATATGCAAAGAACTTGGATTGGAACTGCAAAATGTGAGAGGAATGATAAAAGTAAGCATGGAACTATGGGATTTATTGGTAGAAAAATTAGAAATGGTGACGCAGTCCACAGAAGAACAAAGAAAGACCAAGGAGGAAGAGCCAAAAGAACAACGGACATTGCAAAAAGACAAGAAATAAACTAAAAATAAGACATTGCTGATAGATGTTGTAAATAAAAAGGGAAATACTTCCGAGATTAAACAAAAGAAGCTGTACAAAAAGAAATTGCAGAAAAGACATCAGGAAAGGGAGGGAGAAAAACAAGTGAATGAGAGATGAAAATAAAAATAATATTAGGAGGGAAAAAACGAGCTAAGAGAAAGGACTGGGAAAACTTAGAAAAGGGAAAATTGGCTAAAATTGGAAGAAACTATAGGGCCGAGAGATTTAGAGACGAGGGCTAAGGATAAAATAAAGGGGGAATACCACATGGAAATGTACTTTGGTGTTTTTTTTTCTTTTTTAGAAATATAGACTGGGGAGTTTTGAAGTTTAAAGTTTATTGAGAATCATCTTTAAAAATAAAGAAATAAGCTTAATTGGAATTAAAGGGGAACAAGACCTCACTGTAAGATCATTACATAATTATATACAGGGAAAAATGATAGAATGGTTTTATTATTAAATCCTTTTCTTTTTTTTAACATATATTTAATGGAAATGTAATTGATTATACAAATGATATTAGAAATGATTATGTTATAAAATATTTGTAATGAGATGGTTATATTATTAAAAGTGAGGGATGAAAATTAAATATAATTAAATATAATTTTGTAGGCTAAATTTGATTAAATGTAAACAAAGAGGAAATATGTTTTTTTCCTTATTTTTATTATATACATATGCTAGATATGAAATAGAAAATGTAATTGATTATACAAAGGATATTAGAAAAACAGAGAATATGGTAAACTAGAAATGATATTGTAAAGTATTTGTAACAAGAGTATTATGATTTAAAAAGTGAGGAATGAAAACTTAATAAAATTACATAGGCAAAATTTGATTAAATGGAAACGAAGAAATATGAAATGGTTATATGAATATCTCTGGAATAAATATAAGATTTATTGTAGATTGGGGGGATCCTGAATATATTAGTTTTATTTTATTCTTTCTTTTTGGGGGGTATACATCAGCTTTGAGAAAATTAAAGAAGATAATACATAAAATAAAACAGGTGGTAAGCTGGAAATGAAAATAATGGGATAAAGAGTGAAAATATGCTTGAGGATGAAATGTTTTTGCTATTAGATTAATGAATTGAAAAAATGAAGTGAATAATTCATTTAAAGTTTAATGGAATAGATAACGATTTGATATGGAACTAGATAAGAAAGCTGGAAATGTAATTATGATTATGTATGTATGTTGTAACCTGGAATCATATTGCTCACTTGAAGAGATGTATAAAAAATAAAAAACATTCTTTAAAAAAACATTAAAAAAATTACATAAGTAAAAACACAGATACTGCATGTCCCTCTTTGTGCCCCACATGAGTTGACACAAGCAGATCTTGACACTCTTCCAAAGGGCCGGGGTGGAGGCCAACCCCATCTATGAAAGGTGGGTTCTCTTCCTGGATCCCACCCGTTGAAATTCTGTAACCAACAGGATCCGTAACCTACTTTCCTTCTTCCGGGAGAGTTGAGTTGAAGCAACAGAACCTGTCTGGATGACTGTTTTGTGGGCTTGTTTTTCTAGGCTTCCTCGAAGAGCCAGAGAGGAAATACTACTTTGAATGTGATACAGAAGAGCAGTGCCAGGAATGGATTGAGGTGCTTCGCAAGGCCAGGTGAGCTCATCTCATCACCTGTAGGTTGATAAATCTTATTTGTCTGTCTATTTGGAGAGTATCAATTAAAGGCAAGCTTGAAGGCAGAGATGATATTGTTATCTGATTTATTTTTATTTTTATTTGGCCATCAGAAACTATAGCTATAGCCTTAAAAACATTCACTGCCTACATTGGGGCTGCTTTGGAAAAACAAAGAATAGGCTCCATCTCTGCTGGGTGGCATTTCTTTCTTAAGTGATCATTGGGGAGCAAAATGGTGTATCTATCCCATCAGTTGCATCCAAACTAACGGGCCAGTCCTTTCAGTTCTCCTGTTCTTCGATTTACAGTTATGAATTCATGAGGAGCAGCTTGATCTTTTATCGGAATGAGATCCAGAAGATGACCGGGAAGGTAAGCCAGTGGCTATAAATGACAATACTTATTCCAGAACATCCTGATTGCTAAGAGTATTTAAAGGCCTTTGAGATGTACGCGCACCAACCAGATTCACACACATATTTTAATATTTTAATTTTGGGTATGTTGTATGAAAGCAGTTGTCTGTAAATCACAGTGTAGAATTCTGTGCTGGTGTGGTTTTTAGGTAATAAAATCGGCTTACCTCCATCGCAAGGGTAAACCCATGACTGTGTCTTGAAATAAGTGTGTGAGACTGCTTGAGGGGGACTTTGGAGTGCTTCCTCTTAGAATGGGCAATATAGGACAGCTTCATTTTTGAAGGCATTTGATAACATTTACTAGCTAGAAGATAGTGATTGAAGCCAGGCAGGGGAAGACATGAATAGCTTTCTGCTCCTGTTCTCATGTGAATTACAGATACGATTGTATTCCTTCCCTGGGGAAAAGTGTGATTTCAAGAGCCTGGGGATAAATCAAGCTGAAATCTTAGAAGTATCTAATGTTTAAAGTCTTGAGTTATGATTCTCAGATGAGGAATAGGAGCAAAAGTCAAGGTGTCATGCTGTTCAGCACCAAGCCAGCGCATCTGCTAACTTGGAAGGAGATACAGATGACCTCAGTGGAACATATGCCAGATGAACATAGGTAGCTGGCCGTTTGAATCAGCATAGAACACAGATAATTTGTGGAACAAACTGTCAACCTGCCACCTTCTTGCTTCTTTGGATGCAGGACCCCTTGGAGCAATATGGCATCTCAGAGGAAGCCCGTTTCCAGCTGGGGGCACGGAAACTTTAATCCACATAAGGTGAACACAGGAACTCCACTGCTGAAATGTCGACAGAGTAAATTCTCTATTTTTTTTACGAACTTTAAGGGAGAGGAAAGGGAATGTTTCTCTTTTTTTTTAAAAAAAACATACCCACACTGTCCACACTTGCTGTATCTCTTCTGCTGCTTTGTGATCTCAGTTTTGCTACTACCAATAGCCACATCTGCAATGAAGATTATTGATAAGGAGGATCAGTTTTGTGGTTAATTGAATCAGTCCTGCCTCTCTCATATACAGGTGCGCAGAGCAAGTACAGTTGTAAAAATAAAGGAAATGGGGAAAGGGAGCTTCACATTTGGAAGAAGGCCTCGATTTTAATTCTTTTTAATCCCCTTTGGTAAGGCAGGGAGGTTTTAGTGACAAGATGACAAAACGTGTCATCAGCAGAGATGAATTTAATAGGTAGCCCAGCTCTGCTGTGTCCACTCCCAAATTTATTGTCAGACTGGTCTTCCTACCATCTCCTTGCATTGGGTCTAATTAAGCATTTGACTCAGACTGGAAAAGATCAGATCTGTCTCTTCAGGAGCTGTTGCAATCAGTCATGAAGCTTACCAAGGCCAGCGATTTCTCCCAGGTACAAAATGGATAGGCAGTCCTTAACTTATTCTTGATGCGAGGTACTTTTAAGTGGAAGGCTGGCTGGCAAATGGACACAGCAAGCCCTCTGCCTCTTTGAATACAGGGGTGTCGGTGTTAATCAGTGATCAAAATAAGTAGGCTCAGGCTTGCTGATCTGAAACAATAGATTCAATAGACGTTCAGCCTTTGATGTGGCAAACAGATCATTTGGCAGCCCTTACAGTCATTAGTGATTATTTCCTGCAAGAATAAAAGGGGAAGACTCTTTTCATAATCTTACATGCTTGGTGTTTAGGTTGGGTGACTAGTGGTTCATAGCAGCCGTGAAGATGTACTCCTGAAGCGTCTGGTGTTTGTAAAATTTCTCCCTGTATCCACCACATTCTTGGTGTTACACAGTCTTTCTGTTGTTTCCTCCAGTATCTTTCTTGTCCAACTTTGGGAACTGGCAGCTGAATGTATTTTAAAACCTGCTGTGAAATTTCCTCAGGCATTTTGAAAGTTTTCTTAATTTTTATCAAGAAAGTAGGGAAAACGCTTCTCCGACAGAATGCCTGTGGTTATTTAGAAAAGTGTTTAGAGCCTTCAGAAATTCAAGATGTACTGTAACCTCAAATCTCCCTTCTCTTCCCCTACCATTCCATCTCTGTATAATAAAAAAGCAATTACTTTTCCATTGATGGGTTTAATTATTTTGCCTATTTTGCCTTTTTGTTATCTGCTTTTATTTTCTGCTGCTCTGCCATTACTGTTAAAAGTGTTATCAAGTAGGTGTGTTGGACTTTCAACAAATCTTTATTTGGTGACTTATTATTTACTTGTTCTTCAGGACAGATAAATATTTAGGAAAGAAACTTGCTTAGGTCTAGTCAGTGAATGGCACCCTAGATGTATTGAAAAATTAGAGGGTTAGAAATGTTGTAATTGAAAGACATGGTACAATGATTCTGAGATAACATCTGCCGGCCCCTGTCAGAACCGTATACAGAATAACAAAGTTGGAAGGGAACTTGTAGGTCATTTAGTCCAACCCCGTTCAAGCAGAAGACCTGGCCTATACCATTTCTGACAAGCGGCTGTCCAGTCTTATCAACCAAGTGATCAAGCCAGAAGCATCTGTCCAGGTTGGCAACAAAACACGTTAAGTCAAAAACAGTTTGCTTCTTTGTGATGTAGCTGGTTGTGTAGTTTATAAAGCATGGTTCATGCTTTCTGTAAACTCTTCTAGTTATTTACTTAACTACCTATTCTCAGGACAAAACACATTTCTTTGACACCCCCCCCCCAACCCCCAATATTTGGAGCAAGAATTCTTGCAGATCAGGCAAAGAGAATGAAAAAGGATGTTTGGGCAGAGCCATATTACTTGTAGATAGGGAAAATTGCCTACATTAAAAATTTTAATGCTCCCAATATTTAACCTCAATCCAATCTGCAGTCTTTGGGAAATTGTCACTGAAATGACAAGAAGTCAAACTTTTAAGGGTGAGCAACCTGATGCTTTCCCAATGTTATAAACCAAATCCCCCAGTATTGGCCATGTTAGCTGATTCTGACAGGACTCCGCATCTAAAGGCAAGGAGTTAATAGATTTTTCCATTACTATCACTTATAGAATTAGTGGTATCTGAACATTAGAGTGAAAAGTGTAGGGCAAGCAGAACTCTTCACGTTCCTTTTGCTAGAATGGCTCTAAAGCAGTGATGGCAAACATTTCTAAGTGTCAGGCTAAAAACCAGGAGCCTGTGAGTTCTAGTTCTACATTACCCATGAAAGCCAGCTAGCTGACCTTGGGCCAGTCACACTCTCTCAGCCCGACTTACCTTGCAGGGTTGCTGTTATGCGGGAAATAGGAGGAAGAAGGAGTATTGGATATGCTCACCACCTTGAGTTGTTTATAAAAAACTAAGGGCAGGATATAAATAATGACACGTGTCACCGGTGACATGCCAGGCCTCAAGACCCTCTGCAAGCCATGTGAAATGGTCTTGCTCTCATCCAGCCTCTGAGGTATCCATAAACCATGTAAATATTCTCACGCAACTTCCAAATGATCTGGAGAGGAGATCCGGAGAGGCCCCTTTTGTCATTTGTGTGTGTGTGTGTGTTAATATGCCAGCAGAGCCAAGGTAGGTATTTTACAAATTTTTGACACACTGAGCTCAAAAGGCTTATCATCTGCTCTAAGCCAGAGTTGGGGAACTATGGGCCCTTTATGACTTGCCAACTTCAACTCCCAGAATTCCTGAGCCGGCCATGGGAGTTGGAAGTCCACAAGTCATAAAAGGACCACAGTCCTCCACCCTTGCTCTAAGGTATGACCTTCTGTACATTATAGTTTCTGCAATGCCTTCTCCAGTTCAGCATGCTAATGCCATCGTTCCCAGGAAACAGAATATCAGTGATGGTTATCTGATATTATTTGACTCCGGCCAAAAGCCTGGAAGAGTTTTATATTTTTTGTTAATATAATTGCTATCTCCCTCATTAGATTTGCTTAGCAATTAGAGCCACACAAATTCATGGCCACAACTGTATTTCATGACAAACAATTCATAGATACAGCGACCTGCGTATGGGATTAAAAAAACAAAAATCCCAAGCCAACTTTAAAATGAATAGAAGCACCACATTTAGTACAGTGTATTAAAATACATACATTTTTAATATAAAGACAAACTTCAAAGCCATTTTTCTTTCATTTACAAATCAAAGTGAAGTGTGGGAAGATTCAAAGAATGGAAATTCTAGAACTGGAAAGATCAGAAGAGTGGAAAATATATCAATAAGCTTATTATTACATACATATATACACATGCCAGAATTTTCTATGTGACTTTTATGGAAGAACGGCAGATAAAACTTAAGGAGCAAAGTTTAAAAAAACAAGACGAGAGAAAGATACAGTGGAATAGGATTATCCGATCTGGACTGCAAGGCTCTGAATAGCCACTAGAAGGCAGCAAGGAGATTTCTGCATCTTTGCTGTCAATCTGGTTCTTTGCAGCTCAGATCTAGGTAGTCCTACCACAGTGGAAAATTGGATTTTTAAATAAATGTCCATGGGCTAATGTGTACAAATCAATTCCTAGACCCTAGGAAAAAAAACATCCCATATTGCCACCTTTTAAGAAAATGGATACTCTCTTCAATCCATTTACAAATGGATTTTATATAATTTTTTTTTAATATTTTACAAATGAATTCCTGAGCAGCAGCAATTTCCATTATTGACTGAAGTTCCCCTTCAACTCCAACACAGACTTCAGTTCCATTCTGCAGAGAATATATATCCAAAAGGCTCAAAAATGCAAAACGCTGACACAAGTCACCATATGAGTTAGACTTGTCTTTTTTTTTTCCTCATTTAAAAAAAAAAAAAAATCCCAGAAAGTTAAGAGTTAGCAAAGGTAATCTTTGAAAAACTGCAGCACGATCTATGTGGGGGTTAGGAGAGAGGCATACGGGAGAAAATGAACTAAATAATATGAAAATCCCTTCATTTTAAGTTCCTGAAATTTGGACAGGAGACCGCTTCAGCTTGAATCGGGCGTTTGAAAAGGCTGCCACCCTGGAATCCAGAGAGTCCTCCTAAACCGAGTTACTCTATCCCCAAACTGTTACTGGATATTATAAACTGCAACTCTAGTGAACTTTGGGCAGATTTTAAAAAGATCTCCCTGGGTGTTAAGGATCCATAGAAGCCAACGTTGGAGATGAAACCTTAATGCTTAACTTCCTGCATCAGAAAGATCGGATCAGATTCCCCAGTGAAAGTCTGCTCCATCATCTGTAGGTCCCTGCATATATAATATCCCTTGGGAGACCACATACCCTCCCCTCAGTTCTCTTCTTTTCAAACAATATGTCCCTTGAATGAAAGTTTATCTGATCTTTGCTGCTGTGATAGCACACATGAATTACATAATATTCCCCGCCCCAAACCTTTCAACTGTAGACAATTATTTCATTCACTGATTTTGGGCTCTGAGCATACATTTTAAAAAAGAATGCTTACATATCAGGCCAAAGAGAAGATGCAAGATATTTAAAGGCAGACGAGGGGAAGCAAAATACATGAAATGGTTATATTTCAAGACTGCACGCTTCCCATTACACGGATGAAAGGGGTGCCATCAAGACATTGAGCACTGATAAAAGCCACATTTCATTAATCAATCCAGAACAAGAGCCTTACACTAGAACAAACAATGAACAAGATTATCTATAACAGTGACAAATCAGCTGTACCTGTGCTTGGAAGAATCTAAGAAGAAACATGGATAAGACAGATCCCAGGCTGGCCTGAGAAAGCACCCAGATTAATAGCACCATAACCTATGCTGAAATGGGGTCAAGTTGAGTGTTTTCACTTGTTCTCCTGAAAATGTAATTGCAGGAAATACAGGCTGTGATTTTCTAATCTGCTTAAAATTCATTTTCTGTGCATTTAAGGACAGTTAGATTGTAGGTTGAAAAATACTTAACAGGTAAGATCTGGTCTGTCTTTAGCTGCACCTGAGATGCAGCTAAAATTGGATATGTGTGGGAAAAATATCCATAAACCCCAGGAACCATGAAGTGCCTAGGAAGAAATATGACTAGCCCACTCCACTTAAACATCCTGACTGACCCAGAAATGTTCCAAAGACTCCTTAGCCATTAATTTTCTTCTCAGCCAGGACAAACTCCACATCGAAAAGGGTACAGGTTTCGTTTCCCAATACCCAGTAGTGCAAAGAACTGATTGGAGCACCATAGAAATTTATCTTGGCCTCAGAAATAGTGAGATAATCGTGTAGCTGGAGAGAAGATTTCACGAGAGTTAGGCTTCATCAATCCAACTTCTTGCATTATGCATTTCTTACACCTGAACAGCACCAACAAGAAATTAGATGCTCATTGTGGAATAAGGCAGAGAGTTTGGGGAAGATAGCTTCATAGTCCCCTCTTCTGTAATCTTGCTTGTCCAAAGAGAAACAGCCACCTAATTATATAGGTGCTCTACTAAAATCAATTTCACTGAATGTGTATTTTGATCAGCACAACCTTTTTTTTTTAATTAACCATATGCTGTGTTATCCTGTAGCTCACATATATTCTGAAGAGGTTTTTAATCCATGGCCCCTTATTTAAATTTTTTTGGGGAAGGCAGTAGAACAACAAAACTGGGAATTTATTAGGCTTTCTGAGATAGATAGGGGAAGAAAAATAGAAAGAAAGCAGATAAAATGCCCCACTCCGGAGCTTGCCCTTGCAACCACAACAGAGAGAGAACACAGAAAGGGGAGAGATGTTTAAAAAGACTGCAGGTGAATATGCTTAAAGTTATAATGATGGTATCAAGAATGAAAAGTCCTCTCCTTTATACCCAGCCAGAACATGCCTCTTGTGCAATATTTCTCAAACTCAACAACTTTTAAGAGGTATGGACTTCAACTCCCAGAATTCCCCAGCAAGGCCTGAAGTCCATACCTCTTAAAGTTACAAGCTGCTGAAATTGAGAAACACTGGAAGGTAG